CTTCTTTATTGTTGCTATAATTTGGACTTGAAAATGACCTTTTTAAATCTTGGGCCCCATATAAGTACAAGTATTAGTATTAATCGAATAAGATAACTAATGTAATCATGTTAACAATTTATAATCTGATTGAAAACTTCTTTGTGTGTGATTTCTAATTAAATAATAAAAGTTTATACTATAATTATTTGACGTACCATTAGTGGATTCTCTAACCTTGACATTTGTTGTTATCATTGTTTAACCCTTACATTAATATTTCATATCAAAACTCTCATCTTTTCCTTCTTCTTCTCCTTCTTTATTATTATTATTTAGTATTATTGTTGTTGTTGTTATGGATTTGTTGTTGTGTTATTCTTATTTATAATTTATATAATTAACTTCCTTGTGGTTTGATCCTGGTCTTGCCGAGTCATTTATTACTTCGACACTCCTATATTTTGGAGCAAATATCAATCTTTTGATCGTGTCAAAAAAATAAAAAAAAATAAATATAGAAAATATAAAATGAATAAGAAAAATAAAACTAAAAAATGTTTATTTTCTTGAAAAATGCTAACATCTATAATTATTAAACTTGACATGGGGTTTGACCAAAATAAGGGGTTGATCATAGGTTATCCATATTAACTCAAATTAACTCAAAAAACTTTTTAAAAATATATGTTTGAGGTTTTAATATCTCATGTGAAGAAGTTTTGAAACAATATATGTGAATATAAATTATATAAAAAAAATATGAGATATAAAATATAGTATAATTATCTTATATCAAAAAGTTAAGAAATAATGTGAATGTAGCATGTAAAAAAATTATTAAAAGATAATATAACTATTCCGCATCAAAAAGTTAAAAAATTAATTTGTGTAGACCTAAGTTATCTAGTTATCATATACTAAAAAAATTAAAAACCACTCCATAATATTGCTATAAAAAAAATATGTGAGGTTAAGTTTTTAAAAATTAATTTTATATTTTTTTTATATTTATTAAGAAAAATATTAAAAAAACTCGAGTTTCACCTATCAGTTTAAATTTATCTAAAACTGTGAGGTTAAGTTTTTAAAAATTAATTTTTTTTTTATATTCATTAAGAAAAATATTAAAAAAACTCGATTTCACCTATCAGTTTTAAATTTATATGATAAGTGATTTAAATTTAACATCAATAAATACTATATTAGATGAAATCAATCCATTCTCTATTTTCTACTTTACCTTAAATATCCATCTTAAAATTCCCAAATATTATGGCCCAATTCCCGATATCTTAATGTAAAAACCATTCGTCTTACCCAATTAGGGCTCTCATTGGTCCACTACAATTGTATCAATCCAAGCCCACGAAACAAACATAAAAACCCATAAATTTGATTTATGCCCTCTTAATATACCAGAAATCACAAACCAGTTACCGCTAGAAATCGAAGCAAGAAGAAATGGCAGCAACAGCAGATCATCAGTTCAGTTCGCGTAACAACTTCTACCTAGTAGCCTATCAAGCTGCCATCAACACCAGCGATCTTCCCATTCTCTCCCATGATGACTCTGGAGCGTGACTGCCTTGTTTATCGTTCTTACATTGCCCTTGGCAGCTACCAGGTTGGAAATTCTGTTATCTTTTTGGTTTTTGTTTTTGGATTTTCGATCTGGGTTTTTAATTTTGTTGAGGAAAATTAAGAACTTTTTTGTGTTTGGCAGCTTGTGATTCATGAGATTGATGATCTCGCTGCCACTCCACTTCAAGCTGTCAAATTGCTCGCTTTGTATCTCTCTAGCCCTGAAAGCAAGGTCCGATTTTTTTGGATCCGTTGTTCTTTAATTGAGTTGTTTAATTTTGTGATTTTTAGGATTCTTGCATTATTAATTTTTTTTTTTTTTGCTTAGTGTTGAATGAGATCTCTTTTGATTTGGTTGATTTTGGTTAAGGAAAAGATTCTGTTTTTGGTTCTTGTTTTTAGGAAATTGTGAGTGGTTTAGATGGGAATTGGGTTTGAGTAAATGTGTTTTTTGAGTTCTAGTGAATCGGGTTTGGATGAAACGATCATGGTTTTATTTGCTTTTCTTAGTTTGGTTCCAGTTGTTAGTCGAGGTTAATATGAGAGTTGCTATTTAGTGTGTGCAAAATGGGATCCAGGTTGAGTTTCGAGTGATTCGATAAGAATCTGAATACGTGCTAGTAATTCAAGAGTTAATGCTCTTCAAGTCTAAACCTGCACGTTTGAAAGAATGGAAGAAACAAATAAAATTTTCCTGCCACAAGCAGCGTGATTCTCACACTTGTGTTATTACAATGGATGTTCTTATATGTTGATTCTTGTGTATTAGCGTGTTTTGTGTATGCTTACTTTGATTGCACATGTAGAAATTAGAGGGGGGGCTATGTCTTAATGGTCTTTGTATTCTTGGTAAATCAAAATTTTCCATGCCAATTGCATTCTGGATCTTACACTCATGTTAGTAAAATGTATATTCTTATATGTTGATTTTTGTGTGCTTGTTTGCATGTCTACAAATTAGAAAAAAGAAGCTGCATTTTAATGACTTGGTTTTTTGATTGCATGTAACCTAAATTAAAAGAAATAAAGCTCAAGAATATGTAAAGTCTCACCAAGTGATTGCTTGTAAATTAGACAGGAATCCACAATTTCAAGCTTAAAAGAGTGGTTGGCTGATTCAGCTATTGCAAATAATTGTATCTTGAGGTTGATTGCTGGAATCATATTAATGCATGAGGAGGATTCCAATGAGGCTCTGAAACACACTAATGCTGGAGGCACTATGGAAATGTGAGTTTAATTTAATCTAAATTTTTGAAGCATATTATGTAATTCTGGCTTATCTACACAAGCATGTAAGGTTGTAGTTAATTTCATGATTTTGTAGAAGTCACTCATTTGTTTTTGTTTCATGTTTGAATTGAATGAAAAATAATAAGGACCAAAATGATGGAATTTTCACTTTCTCAGACAAGTAAACTTTCATGGAATGTACTTGAGGAGCATAACATGAATTTTAGGGAACTGTTATGTTCTGAGTAAATCTTTCATGGAATGGTTTGAAAAGGTAGGTTTTAAAAAAGTTATAAATTATAGCTTTTTTTTTGTAACCAAGGTTTCAAAAGAGAAGTATCCAAAGATGCAGGAAGCATATCTCATCTTCCAAGATTTATCAGAGAAGTATCCAATGACAGGGTTACTATTGAATGGGAGAGCTGTTTGTTGCATTCACATGGCTAATTTTGATGAAGCTGAAACATTGTTGCTCGAGGCCCTAAACAAGGTGAGTTTGAAACAATGATCCTCTAACTTCTGCCGAGATCATGACTAGCAACTCCATGTTCAGTTTGTAACACTGACAAATATTTTCTGTTTATGAAATGGTATGCTAATACACGACTGGAGTGTGTAATTCCTGTAATTGACTGGGGTTTACCTTGATACCCATGACCGGATGCAAAGGATCCAGAGACTCTAGCCAACTTCGTTGTATGCAGTCTTCACATTGGCAAATCTTCTTCACATTATCTCAGGTTAACTATCTTTTTCATGCTCAATTTTAACATTATTGTATACCTTGTGTGTGCTTATTATGAATTCTTTTATGAGCTAAATCACTTTGTCCCAAATTCTTTGGCCAAACAAAGAATTAATGAGTAGGAAATAGGGCCAGCCAGAAGGTTTGTCAACATACTAGTACTCTTGTAAGGTCAGCACGAGCCAATGAAGTTAGAAACTTTGGAGTGAAAAAAAGAACATAAAAAAAAGTTGAGCTTACCTTTTTTGTGACTTGTGATAACTTGGGGAGAGAGGGGGTGCGTAAAACTGAAATTCAGAATCAAAGCTGTTTTAATGCTGCTTTCAATTAACTGTTCGTGCAACACTGAGCATGCAATGTGAGTTTATTTCAATGATGCTGGTCTTTTCTCCATGATGAAGTAAAAAGGTATAGAGACCCATTTCCTTCTGATTCAGCTTCAAGAAGTGAGCCTTACATATCATCAAGGTTGCATTTTTTTCAAAATTAGTTACCCAGTGCTTTCACTAAAAACTTTTGCACCGCAGCCTTTGGAAACTTTTTCATATTTTCGACAACCAAATTTATGATTGCTGATATTGAAGGGAGAAATACAGAATGTTTTATCTCTGTATAAATTGGATTTCATCTTTCTCCAAAGCATAATAAAATTCTTTTTTATCCTGGCTTGAAAATTCTAGCTTTAACATGGTTTATGAACCAACTGTTTGAGTAGATCAAAGTATCTTCGTCTGTTTGATCTCTCCAAGATTCATCTCAAGATTCTCATTTAAAATCATACTAATGAATGATTACCTCATGTTCTGCAGCCAGCTGAAGATTTCACATCCAGATCATATGCTTGTTAAACGTGCATCATCTGCCAAAAACAATTTCGAAAGAGCAGTTCAAGCAGTTGCTTGATGTGTTGTTGGTTTTGATTCTAGTTAACAAGGTGAATGCTATTGCTTCACTTTTGTCGCAATTGTTTTTTAGGGATTCCGCAAAACCCCTCTATAAGCTAGGAAATATACAACCGAACTGGAGTTTTTTTTTTATGTAGAGCTCAGATTTAATTAGTGGCATTTCCCATGTCTTGTTGAACGTCTCCTTATTTTTTTTTTCCCTTTTTCTTAGGTTAGATGATAGTTATCAAAGGGGGTTCATTCTATGATCAATAGACTTAAAAACTAACACCAGACGTGTTTGGTTTTAACATTTATAGGGAGTTAATGTGGTCAAATTTGATTGGCTCAATTGTCTATCTTTGGCTTGATTGACCTGGTTAAATTTAATTACCTCTAAGAATATTTTTAATATTGTTTAAAATAATTTGTTTTAGTTTTTTTATTTTTATAATATAGAAATGAAAAATAAAAAAACTTGAAACGTTTAAACGTTTAAGAATAGATTGGATTGAAAGACAAGCTACAACTTGGGCTCAGATGTGATAATGTCGTATGTCGTGTCATTCACACTTTCTTATTATATCAGAATAACATGTCTCCAAAGCAAGCACCAGCGAATATGGTTTATATTGTTAATGCAAATAGTCAAAGCCAATCCATTTGATTATGGAAATTGCCTGCACGAAGTTTCCAGTGAATCAAACTAGCAGCCTAAAAGTAAACGAACATACATAATTCCAGAACAAAAAAAATCAAGCCACCAATTTTTTTCCCACAATTTTTCTCTATTGACCAAGACAAAATCAAAGCTGGAACCGGAACCTGTTATTCAGCCTCTATTGTTCTTCAGAAGTGGCATGTTATGGACTTTGATCCAAGGTGTACAATGGATATTGGTAAAATAATATTCTAAATCATTAAAAAATTGTGGGCACACGTTTAGAATATTCTAATTTTTTTTTTTCCCACACATTTGAACAATGGATATTGGTAAAATAATATTCTAAATCATTAAAAAAAAATTTCATACTGTAGGCACACGTCATAGTAGTCCTGCAAATATGTTGAGCTTCTCGTTTTAATCCCCAACTTCAGAATTTTATCCATTTGGTCCCCCATCCATATACCTTTCCTCAATCAGATCTTTTTTGGTAAAATAATTGGAAATGGAGATAAACATGCATATCTTCTCTTATTGAACATAATTTCTCCAAATCTTAGGTAAAAGCATACCAAACCATAGCTTGTAATTAAAGATAAGTTGGGACCAAGTAACTAAGCGTGTTCATGCTCATGCTGAATGGAGGAAAAATTGGATATTTTCACATCTAAGACTAGGAAAAATCAGGGTCAGTTAGAAAAAAATAAAAATCAGAGTTGGATTGTGAAAATGTGCATAGATAGAGGGCCTAATTGATAGTTAGATGACTCGATCAAGAAATAGTATATATATCATGAGGGACTAATCTAGCTAGGGTTTTCCCATGAACTATTCATGTGTAGACAGTAGCTGGCACACGGTTTTTGATTAACACACTTGAATTGTTATTACAATAGCCAATCCTTGCAAGAAGCTTGTTGTGAATCAAACAAGCCGCCAAACCACAGAAAGTTTTTTTTATATATAATAATCCAAGAAGTTATTGATGAATCTAGAATCCCATTAAATCAATGGAATTCTAGTAGAAAAGAAAAAAGAAAATGACATCGTACAAATAAATAATCAAACTATAGCAACGTAACCAGATGAAATTTGCATTGTACTATCGATAAGTATGCCACTCATGCATGCCTTAAAAAAAAAAGCTGCAAGTCCATTAAGATATCATGATAGAATTACTAAGAATGTGTTTGTCTACTCTTTTGTTTTTGGATTTTAGACTGTCGTTCGAAATCAAAAACATGATTTTAACTGCTTTTCATTTGAACAACAATTTGAAATGTACAAAAAACGTAAATAAATGGGTTCTAAGAGCAGATTATGAACTTTAATCATATGTAGTCATACATTACTTAAACTATCCATGTTTATATTCGCCATGTTTTTCTAGTTTTTGACATTTTTGCTAGATATACATAATTTTCAGGGAGTGACGGGTCTAGCTTTGATAAGATTGTACAATTTGGAACGCTAAAAGCATGCTTCGATTAACGTTGATAGAATATGATTTGGATTACTTGCCCCAAAAGAAACATAACTTGTTTCTCTCCCATTTCATCTATAAATACAGCCATGAATTCAAGGTATAGCAACGCCTAGCTCTGAAACGTTGCATGAAAATGAAGGTTTCAATGTCTATAATTCTCTCACTACTTTCAGCTCTTCTTCTGTCAGTATCATTGGCAACTTCCGATGCAAGTCTTGAAAAATTTCTACAATGCCTTCCTAACAATAGTCTTCCCTCTTACCCCATCTCCGAAGCCATCTATACAACTGCGAATTCCTCTTTCGAGTCTGTTCTGCAGACATATATCAACAACAGAAGATTTTTGACCCCAACAACACCGAAACCAATTGCCATCGTTACGGCCCTGCATGAATCCCATGTCCAAGCAACAGTCATTTGTGCAAAGGCTAGTGGCTTGCAGGTTAGAATCCGGAGCGGTGGACATGATTACGAAGGTCTTTCTTACGTATCCGAGGTCCCATTCGTCATCCTCGACATGTTCAACCTCCGATCCATCGACGTAGATATCGCCAACGAAACGGCATGGGTTCAAGCTGGGGCAACTCTTGGTGAAATTTACTACAACATTGCGAACAAGAGTAATGTGCATGCCTTTCCAGCTGGTGTTTGCCCTACTGTCGGTGCAGGAGGTCATATTAGTGGAGGAGGGTACGGGACTCTAATGAGG